ATATATATATATATATATATATATATATATATATATATATATATATATATATATATATATATATATATATATATATATATATATATATATATATATATATATATAAAACTATATATATAGTTTATATATATATATATATATATATATATATATATATATATATATATATATATATATATATATATATATATATATATATATAGTTTATATATATATATATAGTTTTATATATATATATATATATATATATATATATATATATTCAAAAATTAAAAAGTTCCAGTTTATTCTAAGAAAAAAATAATTTTAATATTTTATTAAAAATTTATTATTTGATACATTAAAAGTAATATCTATTAAAATATAAAATAATAAATCTTGCAAACTAAAATGAAATATATGTTATATTAAAATTTTAATATTATTACAAGGAATAAACCAGAATTCACTTATAAAGCAGAAACAAAAATAGTTTAAAAATGGGTTAATACTCATTTTGCTCTTGCACATGATTAAGATGGCGCTTATCACTAGACCAATTTATTTCTTATGTTTTATTTTCTCCTCAACAGTATATATTACATAGTTGATATTTATTTTTAAAATTGATATTACATGAGGATTATTATATATGAGTACTATTTATTATTTATTATTTTCAGTTTCATTATAATGAATAAAATAAAATAAAATAATTATTAAATATTAAAATAATGAATGTTATAATACTATTTATTATACATGAGGACTATTTATTATACATGAGTGATATTATAATGAATAAAATAAAATATAATAATTATTATATTAAAATAATAAATGTTTAATACTTTCAATTTTATTTATATTTTCAGTTTATTATTATTTTATTATTTTCAGTTTTTAAATAATAAATATTAAAATAATATTTATTTAATAATTATTTAATTTTTAATTTCAATTTAATTATAATATATTATGTAAAATAACGTTTTAATTTCTGAAATATATATCATCTAATATTAATGTATTTATTTTGGAACAAATAGTACACCTGTAAAATAATACTCATGTAATAAATAATAAATAATACTCATATAATAAATAATAAATAATACTCATGTATAATAATTTTTATATAATATTACTTTTGGAAATAAATATTAACTATGTGATATATATATAGTGTTGAGGAGAACAAAACATAAGAAATAAATTGGTTCAGTGGTAGACACTTCTTATCATGTGCGGGGAGTTTTTTTTTTTACAGGGTAAACAAATCAAAATACTCCTTATTTTACTTTCCATAAAACAATTGTGTAAACATATTTCAATCAACTTCATGCAACGC